CCCCTGCCAGCCTGGTCACCTCTCACAGCTCACCCTCCCCCCGCCGACCTGGTTGCCCCACACAGCCTGCTGTTCAGTAGTTTGGTCGTCCCTTACTAACCCCCCTGCCAGCCTGGTCACCCCACACAGCCTGCTGTTCAGTAGTTTGGTCGTCCCTTACTAACCCCCCTGCCAGCCTGGTCACCCCACACAATCTGTTGTTCAGTCGTTTGGTTGTCCCTCACTAACCCCCCTGCCAGCCTGGTCACCCCACACAGCCTGCTGTTCAGTTATTTGGTTGTCCCTCACTAACCCCCCTGCCAGCCTGGTTGCCCCACGCAGCCTGCTGGTCAGTCGTTTGGTTGTCCTCTGGGCCAGCCCTGGGCGGCTGGGGTGCTGAGGGAACTGGCCATGGCAATCTTATGGCTGTGGGCATGGCCATCTTTGAGGGCGGGGCAGTCAATTAGCATATCCCCTTTTTATTGGCTGTGGGCGTTGCCATCTTTGTGATGGCGTGAGGGTCAATTAGCATATTCCCTCTTGATTAGATAGGGTACTGCCTTTCACAGAGCAAAAAACTTTTAATTTTGATGAAGTCTAATATATCAATTTTTTCTTTTATGGATCATGCTTTTGATGTCATATCTAAGAACTCATTGTCTAACCCAAAGTCAAAGATGTTTTCTCCAAAAGTTTTATAGTCTTTTTCCTCATTGAATGGCCTTTGCACCTATGTAAAAAATCAGTTGGCCACCTCACACCTGTTGAGTGGCCATTACCAATAAGACAAGCAATAACAAGTGTTGGAGAGGCTGTGGAAAAAAGTGAACCCTCATTCACTGTTGGTGGGAGTGTAGATGGTACAGCCACTATGGAAAGCAATCTGGTTTCAAAATTGCCTTTGTCTTAGTTTATACAAGTTTGACTATGTGTTTTGGTGAGAATTTCTTTGTGTTTCTCCTGTTTGGGGATTGCTCAGCATCTTCAGTATGTAGGTTTATGTATTTTACCAAATTTGCAAAAATTTTCAGCCATTATTTCTTTGAATATTTTTTCAGCACTCTTTTTTATTCTCTTTTTCTGATGACATAAATATTTAATCTTTTGTTATAGTCCTTCAGGTCTCTGAGACTTTATTTTTATTCTTGGTTTGGTCTGTTTTTGCTCTGTTGTTCAGATCAGGAAATTTTTTATTGTGCTTCCTTTCAGTTCACTGATTCTTTCCTTTGCCCCCTCTATTCTGCAGTTGAGCGCATCCACTGGGTCTTTACATTTTACATCATTGCGATTTTCAGATCTAAAAATTTCATTTCATTCCTCGTTATACCTTCTTTTATGAGACTTTCTATTTTTATTTGTTTTAAGCATATTCATGCTTGCTCATTGAAACATTTATATACCGAATGCTTTAAAGTCTTTACCAGATAATTCTAACATTTCTGTCATCCCTGATGTTGACATTTATTGATTATCATTTTTCATTCAATTTGAGATTCTTCTGGCCATTGTTATAATGAGTAATTTTTTATTGAAACCTGGACATATGTATTATGAGACACTTGACCTTATTTACACTTTCTTTTTAGCTGGCTTTACTCAGAGCCAGCAGAGGAAGGTAGAATTTTTCTTTGTTACTGCCAAGTGGGAGTCAAAATCAAGGTTCTCTACTCGGCCTTCTTGTCCCCACTTGCCCAAGAGTGGGGTGCTCATCGTTATTGCTGGGTGGGAGTAGGAATTGTGGCTCCCCAATAGGCCTTCATTGATATCTCTCTGAATGGGAGGGGAGCGGTGCCTCATTATTGCTCCCCACTTGGCTTTCATTGACACCATGGACGAGGGTGGCCTAGTTACCACTGGGCGGTGGTGAAAGCCCTGACTTTCCACGGGGCCTCCTGTGACACCACCTCCCAGGGAGGAGAGGGGATGCTTCGCTACCACCAAGTGAGGGTGGAGTCCAGGCTACCCATGTGGTTTCCATTGTCACTGCCCAGCAGGGATCAGTGTCCCAGTTTCATATTTATTTTCTCTGGCACTGATACCCCGGCTGTGGGGAGGGAGGTGGGATGGGTGCCTGATGAGGGTGGCTCCTCCTGCACCCTGCTCAGCCTTTGCTTGTGTGGGTGGGCGAGGAAGACAGGTTTTTCTGTAGTGTTTGGCGGAGCAGTTATTGCCTATAAATAACTCACTAGGAAAGTTACAAAGACAAGGCTTTGGTTGGGTTGTTGTGTCTGCACCCATTGATATTTCAGGTCTCAGCCTCCTAAGCTCCAAGTTAGGAACATCAGAAGGAAAAAATCCTACCATCCATTTCTTGGGTCCGGAGATTCCTAGCCACTCCACCTTTTCTCCACCTGCAGTTTTCTTATGTTTGTTTTGTATATAATGTCCTTGGTTTTGTTTGTACTTAGTGAGAGGAAGAGGTGAAATATGATTACTCCGTATTCCAGAAGCACAAGTCCTGTCACTCACTGATTTTTTAATGCATCATTCTTTCTTCAATATTTTGTACGTATGTTACAATCTTTGATGAGTTCAGTCTCTCTCTGCACTCTTAGTGTTGACTTGTTTTCATGTGAATTGGCATTTTGTGTGAGTGTTTGTACGAGAGAGCATGTGTGTGGGGAGGAGAGAGAGAGCACACGGGTGTGGAGAACTCACACCTGAGCCTTCCCTCCGAGCATCTCCGGGCGCTGAGTCGGGAATGCTGTTCTCCAAAGACTTACATCTCCCTCGGCCCTGAGGTGGGGGTTGCCCACAGATCTGGACCATTCAGCCAGGTCTAGGTTCTGTCCCTGAAAATCTCAAGGACAAGCTCCTCACTGGCTGGGGCCCGACACTGGTGGCCGGGTCCCCGTGTTGACATTGCGTGTGCCACCAGACTCTGTGCTGGTCTGTGTTGGCAGTTGGTTTTGTTGGAGGTATAGCAGGGAGACGTCCATCCCGCAGGACTGGAAGGGGCCTGGTCTCAGACTATGGGGCCACTGCTTAATTCTGTTCCCTCAAACACTGGTCTGGGAAGGAAAAAAATGTGTTTGTTCTATTCACCCAGGTTGCAGTCTGTAGCAGGAGACTCTGCAGAGTATCTTGTTGGCAAATATGTTACGTTGCTGGTCAATTTCAGTATCATCTGTATTTTCTCTTAGAAATTGTTGCTCCTAATGTCCCCCCTTTTCCCATCTCTCCACAAGAGAAAGTAGTGGGGAGTAAGTATGAGAGCACGCTCCTCGTTTGTTTATTTGGCTGACAGGTTTCTCATTTTTCTCTTTAGGGCAGAAAAGACTGAAGTTCTGAGTGAAGACCTCCTTCAGGTAAGGCTGCCCGGCTCAGCTGATGGGCACCGAGGCTGTGCTCCCTGTTAGACCTGGCCATTCCCAGTGCCGTGTCACCGCCAGCGCTCCCACACAGGTCTGTGGAGAGACACACTCTATCATTTGCAACAGTCCCTGGCATTCTGAATACCAGTTTGGGTAATATTTTTAGGAGACATTTAAAATCGTTTCCTTGTGCGGTTAGCAGTGGCCCCATAGTCTGAGACCAGGCCCCTTCCAGTCCTGCAGAACGGGATGTCTCCCGGCAGTCCCCTCTCTGCAGAAGCACACGGCAGACGCTTCCTGTGTCCAGACCTAGGACCCCTCCTGACCTTGCCCGCACCCAGTGACGTCACCCCCTGCTCTGTGTGCAGGTGGAGAAGCGCCTGGAGCTGGTGAAGCAAGTTTCCCACAGCACGCACAAGAAGCTCACCGCGTGTCTCCAGGGCCAGCAAGGTGCCGAGGCTGACAAGCGCTCCGTAAGTGCCCTCCCAGCCCCGGGCAGGTTCAGATTTGCTGCTGAGGACAGGGGTTCCTCTGATGACAGGGCTCCCTCTGATGACAGGGTCCCATTCTTAGGGCTGTGTTTCCTATCGCTGTTGATACAGTCACTTCTGTGTCTGAGAATCGACCTCCGGGATAGCTCCCTGTGTGACAGCCCCTCCCTGCCCTTGAACCCCGTCTGGAGCATCCTCTGCCCGCACCAGGCAAGGTTGCAAGTTTCTTCCCGTGTCCTCCCTGTCTGGGCAGCTGGGCGGCTTGAGATCCCACTTTAGGGGGCTTTACCCTTGCTCTTAGCCCTGCTGCAGCTCATTTACAGATTCCACAGCCTCAATAGTGTCTTAAGGCCTCATGGGAAAAGCTATACTGTTTTTGGAGGTTACAAATGACCTATAAAGGCCTGGAAAACAGTTTTTGCTCTAAGGAAACAATAAAAAGCGTGCTAAATGAAAGCACTCTAATGTCTGTGATAGCCCTCATTAGTAATAAGGCGCTGCAGCATGTGATCCCAGTGGATAGTCCTAGTGTAGACTGTCGGTGCAGACTCACTTCACTTCCAAGACCCCCGCCTCCTAATCTCCACCAGAGTAAAATGTATCCTTAGATGGGATATGCAATCTAGGAGGTTTATTTTTCCTTCCTTAAATTTACAATCTACATGTTTAGTGGCTAAGTTTTTTATTATTTTTTTAATCCTCATTGGGTTATTTTTTCAATTGATTTTAGGGGGGGTTAACAGAGAGAAACATTGACGTGAGAGAGAAACATTGATTGGCTGCCTCCTGTACACACCCTGACAAGGGGTCAAACCAAAAACCTGGGTATGTGCCCTGACTGGGAATCAGACCCACAACCTTTTGGTGTGTAGGGCAACCCTCCAATCAACTGGACCATGCCGGCCAGGGCTGTTTGAGTTTTTTCTGACCTGGAGTTACTGTTAGCTTTTCGTTTCTTGCTGGTCCCCCAGAGCACGCCTGCAAACACACCTGTGTCGGCCTCATTTCTATTGATTGCCGTGGAGTGCGCCTGCCTGACCCTTCATCCATCTCATGCTGCAGGACGGGACCCATTCCACATGCTGTCAATCATTCCATTTTCTTCCCAGCCCGGTTCTATCTTTCCTAATATTCCCAGAAGGAATCACTCACCTGTAGTAGAAATAAAATGTTCACAGCTTTGAAAAATGTCCATCAGGGATTTCAGCAAGGGGAACCTGGACAGTCAAAGGGAAAGTTTGCAAAATTGCTTTGGACATGAAACCCTTTAACCAAAGAAACCTCTAATGCGAGCCTCAGGAGCCATTCTGGGTGGGAGCCGGCAGCCAGGCCTGCCTGTCGCCTACCTCCTTTATTTTGTTCCAAGAAGCACTATTCTTAAAATCATGCATCTACAGCCCAGTGTGTCTTGGTATCATGAGTTGCCTCCTGAGGCTTGAAACTGGCCTTGCTGTTGATTGCTACTAGCATTATTGGTCTGGGATAAGGTAGCATTACCTAGGTTTGTAGAGTTTTAATTGGATTGAGGGTTTTGCAAATCATCTCTGTTAGGAAGCATTTGGCTCCCTGAGGGTTCTAAAATATAGTGTATTAATAGAAAAGTTGATATATGGCAAGGTCAGCGGGTTGGGGGATGATTGGCATGAGAAGATAGTTTGCAACTTACATTTCCCCAGAGGATGGGCATCCAGCCACTCAGGGCCGCACGGAGAAGCACCAGGGTCAGTCAGGAGGCAGAGGGAGAGATTACGTGGGCCAGCGCCCTGTTGTAGCTTCCAGGGGAAGAAGCAGATGAGGCAGCTGAGCAGGCTCGGGTTGGCTAGTTTGAATGCTTTCAGTGGCTGGGGGACACAGCGGCTGCCCTTAGTTGTCTGGAAGCTGGGGGATTGGGGCAGGTGGGTGGTGGCCCAGAGTGTGAGACCCCGTAAAGGACGTGGTCGGGGCTCCCCATGGTTGGTTGCGT